CTCTCTTGATCTCTCCTATGACAGATCATTGTCGGTAGAGAGAGAGGGCAGGTAGAGAGAGAGGGCGAGTAGTGAGAGTGTGCGAGAGGGTAGGTAGAAAGAGAGGGTGGGTAAAGAGAGTGAGAGAGGAGAATGGCATTTTAGTCTCAATTTTTTCGACTTTTTGACAAGGGTAAATACAAAAAAAACAATGTTTGGGTCTAAAGTGTGATATTAAAAGTACTGGGGGAAGATACCTACAAAGTTCATTTTAGGGTATCTATAATTTTCTACCAAAAAAAATAGTCATCAGAATTTTGTAATCAAATTTAACCGATTTGAGTCTCAAACAGTACCTCACTTATTGGGGTTAACCTATTGAACTCCAGCTTCTTCTGTTTAAATGTGATTTTCACATTTTGCAGAAGCTCTTGTTGCCTCTGCAAATCTTTATCAATTATTTCTTTTTCCCATGTAAACAGTCTAGGGTCCTCCATTTCTTCAGTGATATTTATTGGTTGATCTATAAATTCTGAAGTCAACGAAAATCTAATATCCACTTTTTCCCTGCATTTGCATTAAGCACAACAATATGACAGTAGTTCACAGTTCCTTACATAGAAAAAGAAAAAGGTGTAGGTTAGATTTTTTTTTTTTTTTGGGTCGAACTTTGAGGATAGAACCATTTTGACCACCCTCATGTAACCGGATATCTAACCACTAGAACAAAGTCCAGGTCGCATAATATGCACAATTTTAAACTCTATATAAGTGATGAAAGATAACAAAATACCAGATCCCTTGTCATATAAGAGCAGGTGTTTCAAAGGTCATCAGAGTTAGTATTGCAAATAACTTCCATGGTCAGTTTACTCCTGAATATGTACCATTCTCATATTAACTGACCGACCCAATCACAAAATGAAGAAAATTGGGAACTTGACAAAAGAGACTGGCTGTGAAAACTAGTGATCAATGTTCAATACGGCAGAGGTGGCGGCCTAGGCGGTGAGGGGGCTGACCTGCCTAGCGATAGGGCAGGCCCAAAAAACCGGTGATTTTTTTAAAAAACAAAATTTGGATCCCCCACACCTCCAACCTTTATCTATCAATTATCAACTTTAAAACTTAACACCTAAGCCTGACAAATAGACAAAAAAAACAAGGTCAAACTTGAAAAAAATAGAAATGGTTATCTAAAAAATTGCAACGATATCTAAAAAATTACAAATAGATTTAGGTAAAACATACACATCAAAATTGCAATGATATAACACAAAATTGAAAAAGAATATCACCACATGCAATTATTTAATAAGCTATAAGCATTAAGTAAATATTAGACTAACGAATAAAATAATTTTGCTTTATGAATCATACATCAAGAAAACACATTGCACATACAATTATTTAATAAACAATTAAGAATTAAGCAATTATTAAACTAACTAATAAAATAATAATCCAAGATTCCAAATAGACAATAACATATCAAATATATATCACAAAGTATCAAAGACAAAATACAAATAGCAAAAAATAACATCATTAGACATTAAGGGAAAAAAATACAAAACTTAATGAAAACTATTGAAATATACCAAGCTTCTTGAAGTGGACTCGATTTCGAGCCAAACCAAAATGTTTGGGATCCCAAATCTCCTCTTTTGCAAACCCCTATAAGCCTAAAAAAGATTAGGGTTGAATATCCTTTAATATCGTGACCATTCGAGAATTTTGAAAAAAAAATTGATCTCTCAAAAAATCTTCAAATCTAGTTTTTTTCAAGTTATTTCTCTCTCTAAAGTTCACTAAATTTGTTTTGGGGGCTAAGAATGACCTCCCAAACCCTTATCACCCCTTTAAAAGGGGGTAAAATGTCCTTTTTTGTCCCCACCCGAAAAACATTTTCTGCCAAAGCCCTGTGTGCCGCCTAGGATGGTGCCTAGTTCCACCTTATTGATTGCCTAATCAGCCACCCGACCGCCTAGGCGGCCGCCTAGTTCTGACGCCTAATTAGTCCCGCCTTAAGAACGCCTAGGCATGTTTTTAGAATAGCAGCCTAGGCGAGTAGTTGCTACTCGGCCAAGTTACTCAGGCTCGGCCCGAGTTGGGTGTCCAACTCGGGGATACTAAAAAAATTCCAAACAAATGATAAAAGATCCTAAAATATACGAAATTTATTTGGGATTGGTTTTTTATGTCTTCTATCATTTTGGCAAAGATTGGAAAGGGTTTTGGCTATATACTTATTTTTATATTTTCCCATCGTTTTTAGATTATTTTAAAAATACCCCCAGTCACAAGTAGACTTTTTAAAATCTAGTTTTTTACTACTGTTTTAACATTATTTTAAAATGTTTTGCTTAATCTTACTTTAAACATACATTTCCTCTTTTTTTTTTGGATTTTTTATGTATTATTTTATGATTTTTTTACCTTTTTTTTTGCTGCTACAGCCCTCAGCACTAATCGGGCCAAGTTACACAGACTTGGCCGGAGTAATCAGCTTGGGCCAGGACCGATTACTCTAAATCGCACTTTCTACACTGGTGAAAACCGCAAAACCAACTGCAGTCTAAATCAAAAGTTCAAATAAGTAGAGCTTTCTGAAAAATAAGGAAAATAGAGACTTACCAGAAGGCATAAAAAAACTTGCCCTTTCGTTTTTTTTTTAATGTGAAATCAACTGTAATCTCTCTCTCTCTGAGCAAAGATTTTTGAAAACCAAGGATAATACAAGACTTACCAGAAGGCATAAAAGACCCTTCACTTTTTTCTTGGTGTGAAATCAATTGTATTCTCTCTCTCTCTCTCTCTCTCTCTCTCTCTCTCTCTCTCTCTAGCGCACACACACACACACACACAACGGGAAGTAGGAAATGTTGTGAATAATTAAGTTCATATTTATTCCTTCTTGCATTTAAGTCCTTGAGGACTTTTTTGCCTTTTCACTTACTGAATGGGCCGGTTTGTCCTATAAGCTTTTATTATGAATACAAAGCATAAGATGGGGCGTGGGGGTCAAGATGACACCACCATGATCTCTTCCTCCACATGTGACACACTCTCCCTCATCTATCTATCCCAGTAACTTTATGTATCCTTCTAGATCGTGCTATCTCTTATACTCTTTTTATCGCTTTGCTATATTTTAACTTGGTATCAAATCAGGAGGCTTCAGGATATGTTTTTGAAACCTTAATGATGTGGTCTAACTATGCAAGGTCTCCAATAGCTATATGGTCAGAAACACTAAACTTGGAAAATCAGTTATGGACTAAAAAAATCTTAAATGATTATGATTCCCTTCTTTCTGTGAATTTTCTTTGTGATGTGTGGTTCGAGAAACTAGATCTGAAAATTAATGGTGGCCAAAACCCTAGATCTGGTTTGTGTTGATCGATAACTTATATCTAAAAATTGGTGTCATGCATTAAACCCTAACTCTCATGGTTACTTTCTATCTCGGTAGAGTTTGTGATCTGGAACTGAAAACCTTAAAAACTGATTGGGATGTTTTGATGTTTCTAAATTAGCTGTTGCACTCCTTTAATATGTCACACCCCTGGTCATGAGTTGTAAAACTCATATTTTATTGAGATCTCTTGCATGAATTGTCTTGGATCTCTATGTGGAGAGAAAAGAAGTAGCAGTTTCTGGAAATGAACGAGTGATTTTTGAAGCGGTTACATGGTGGCTGATATGATCAATATCAGTGATTCAGAACTCTCTTCTACCACCACGTGTATGCCAGGTGTATCCATGGAGAAAATGTTGGATTGCAGATTACAACTGTTAAACTTGATGGGACCAATTTTATGGAATGCTGCTGAAATGTTTATTGGCGGATAAGGGAAGTTGGGATATATTAATAGAAAATTTATTGAACTTGAAGAGACAATCCTTCGCATGAGAAGTGGGGGACATAAAATTTGATTGTATTGACTTAATTGTCGCATTCATGCAACCTTCAATTAGTAAGGGTTCCTTGCTTCTTCGGATTGTGAAAGAGATATGGGAATTGATACACCAAACTTTGTCAAAAGGCAAGAATGTATCCCGGATGTCGACATGGAGAGGGATCTCTAGCAGCATATTTCTCTCTACTTCATAGCCTACGGGAGATATTGGATCATTATCAGATTTTTAAACCAGCTTGTAAGCAAGAAGGGGATAAATACAAGGAGTATATGGAACAAAATCGTATCTTTGAGTTTTTTTTGCTCGATTGAGCCCCAAATTTGAGGTAGCTAGGTTTCAAATCCTCGGTCGGGATAATCTTCCATCTCTCAATCAAGTAAATTCCTCTATCCGGAGTGAGGAAAGTAGAAAAAGTGTCATGCTCCATGTACAACTAATGGATCGTTCTGCTCTTGACTCAGCTTCATTACCCCCTAGGAACAACAAGGGGGGTGGATCTCGAAAATTTGGAAAAAGGGGTCCCAATCAAGTAGATAAAAGTATGTTGAAGTGTGATCGTTACGGTAGGATTGGCCACATTAATGAGAATTGCTGGGATTTACTTGGTCAAACAATAAAATTTAATCGTCCTGGGCAATTCAATGCACATAATGCTTCATCTGCTGGTGGTTCAATAACTATTAATGCATGTTTTCTGCCAAAAAGGAGATGATATCAATCCCTATAGAAGAAATTGTGAGCCTTCATCGATTGTTTACGCAGTTAGATCGCCCATCTGCTACCTCTAGATCATCGTTTGCCCGGTCAGGTATTCGTGCTTCTGCTAATTATGTCTCAATTTATGCGCTTGGACAATCTTGGATCATTGATTCTAGAGCTTCAGATCATTTGATTAGTATATCATCCTTTGTTTTCATTATCATTGTTTTGGTACAGATGGTTCGAATTGCTGCTTGATCTGTCTTCCATGTTGAAAAAGGACTTGTAAAAGGATCTGCTCAATTGTCTCTGTCATCAATTCCTCATATCCTAGCTTTGTTGCAAACTTAAATGTATGTTAGTAGTATTACCAAGAATCTAAATTGTAGAGTAACCTTCTTTCCTCTCCATTATGTATTTTAAAACTTGGTTATGAGGAAGAAGATTGGCAGTGGTCATGAAGCTGGTGGTCTCTATATGTTTGACTTGCTACCATTCCTCAAGCTCTTCAATCCAGCATTAATATTAACAAAGAGCGGAATTCGCATGGGTATCTCTGACTTGATGATTTGTCTTTCAGTGATCAAATATTTTATTTCCCAAGTTGTTTACTTCTACTAGTGTAGAAAAGTAAATGTCAAAACAGTGGGTTCTCATTAATGAGATTGCCACGGGAGTCTCTATATGTTTGACTTGCTACTATTCCTCAAGCTCTTCAATCCAGTATTAATATTAATAAAGATTGGATTTGGCAGGGCATCTCCAACTTGATGATTTGTCTTTCAGTAATCAAAAATTTTATTTCCCTAGTTGTTTAGTTCTACTAGTGTAGAAAAGTTTAAAGTGGAGTCTATGAACTTTCAAAACATTGTAGAAACGTTTTTACTCAGTAACAATAAAAGTATTGTTCTTTTTGCTTTTGTCCATTTTGATGTGCAGGGTCC